GTATCACATCAACGTAGCTACTGTTTCAACCGTGTCGGTATACCCTGCACAGTCCCCTCACAGTGTATTACTACTTACCTAAGAAAGGTGACCCAAATCCGGGTGTAGGATTAAAGAAAACCAAAACAAGGAACCATAATATAAAACATGCAAGTCAAACAAAGAAAGCAAATAAATGTGATCTAGCCCTAAGGTAACCCCACTTTTATAAAATTCCCCAGTAGAGTCGCCAATTTTGTGATATGGTGGGAGAACTGACTTGGTGTGTTTTGCGTTTGATCGCAAATATTGCGGTTAGCAAGAGTCACCATCGACTTTTCTTTTATCTAAAAGGAAAGGCTGAAAAGAACAGGAAAGACCTTTGAGATGTTTTCTTGAGTTCGGGGGGTAGATTATGAAAAGGGAAGGTATTAACACCCTTTTCATCCATGGTTTTCCATGGGCTCTTAGTTACTTTCCAGATCATTTGCTTTTGTTTGAAAATATGCTTTGTGTGGTTTTTGAAAGTATTTTGAAAAGGTGTCATTGTTTAGGTAAACTTTGTAATGATTCTCGTTCGTAAGAATGTATACAAAGTGTTTGATCCTTTGAAAATATTTTTAAGTTTGAAAGATGTTTTTGAAAGTGTTGGTGTTTGTTTTGAAAATAGCAAGGATGTTTTTGGTTTTGAAATTTAGCAAGTAACTAAGAATATTCTACCTACTCAAAAGTCTTTCACGTTTATTTCCTCTTTCCTTTGACATTATTGTCTTACCATTGATTTGGTAAATAACCCTATCTTTGGATGTAAAAAAGGACGGGCAAGGGTCATCGTATAGCCATGATTAACAATGTTGTAAGATATCTTAGTAGTTTCTTTAGGGACTAAGATCATTTTGAAAGGCAACATGGATAGCGTCATCGAGGGACTATGATCTTGTATTTTTTGCTTGTTTTTGCTAAGATACCTCACATGCATAATATGGCCATTTTTGTAAGGCAATAAAGTGGATTTACCCTAGGGGTGTATGTGTGCAAGTGTATTGATTTACATGCTTGATTTGTCTTGATTAGGATTTTCTATTTGTTGGTTTTTAAGCTTTCCATACAAAACCCTAATTACTAGCATTTGTATATAAAGCAATAAATTGCGGAAATTAAAATTACTATGCTATTACATCATTTAGGGGAGGGGGTGTACAAATTTACAAATGGGGATTGCAAGAAATTAAAACCCTAATTATCTATTACAACCATATTGAATTTGAATAAATGTACAAAATTGAATAAGTAAAAATGCAAGAATGTAAATGTAAAAAGAAATGTGATTTTTGTTTGATTTTCATGAAAAGGGTTTTTTGACCTAGTTAACTAAAATAAAATAATTAACTAAAAATAAGAAAATTAAGATTAAGTTAGTTAAAAAAATTAATTTAAAGAAAACAAATTTTTTAGGGTTTTTGTGAATTTAATTAGTAAATAAAAATTAATCAAATAAAAGTCCTAAGTTCTAAATTGATTTTAATTTATAAGAAAAATAATATAATATAATAATTAAAACTAATTATCTAAGTATTTAAAAAAGAAATTAATTTATTAAAGGAAAATGTTTTTTGTTCTTTTAGTATTTATGAAGAAAAATAAACTAAATAAATATAAATAATAACATATAAATATTTTGGGATTTTTTATTAATAAAAAAAATAATAATAATAGTATTAATAATAAAATAATAAAGAAAATAAAATAAAAATAAAATATAAAGAAAAGTCAGGGAGGTTAAAGTTGAAACAAGGGGTAATGTTAAGAAAAAAGGTCTGGCCCATGGGATGGAGGCCCAAGCGCTTCCTGAAACAAAAAATGTCAAAAAATGTGAAAAAAAATGCAAAAGGCAGTGCGCAGGGTGTTGAGTCCACACCCTCTTGGTTACCAGCGCACTGCCTTACCACTTGGGTGGCCATACATCCATTAACTTAACTGAAATGATAAATACATAATGTAAAATGGGTCATGAATACACTTCATCTTCAACCTCCAGCCAGACCACCTGTATCTCGTTCATTTCTCAACGAAAATGGAAAATGCAAACATGAAAGTTGCTCCATTTTTCTATACGAATCCAACCATATAAATATCATAAACTATGAATCAAAGATGAATGAGAATTTTTGAAAGTACCAAATTCTGACCTAATTATTTTCAGAGGTTTAATCCTAAAATTCTCCTAGCTCAATCAATATAAATAAAATCTATGGACATGTACAGCTTCAGGGTAATGATGTCTACATTTTATCTTCACAAATGCAAGCCTAACAATGCCTAGGTAATGAGATAGAAGTTCAAGAAAAATACCTTAAAACTGGAAATCGTGAAATGCAAATGAGCTTGATTCAAGGTGCTGCAATGATCATGTTAGTTTCCTCAAGTTCCCAAGAAGCTAATGTAATGGTTAGCTTGAGTTGAGAGTGGCTGAAATGGCTTGGAGAAGTCAATGTGCAGGCTATGGAGGATGATGGAAATGGAGTTACATTCGTGTAACAAGGACATGGATGAGTTGTATTTGATGTAAGGAAGCTTTAGGAACTAAAAGGCCAAAGAACGCACGAGGGAAATATGAGTTTAGTGTTCAAGGTTAGAAACTGCGCAACAATGGAGTTTTTGCGCAATTTCTGATTTGAGAGAGTTTTGGTGTGTTTCAGGGTGCTTTAGCTCGTGTTCTAGCTCACAAATAGTGCCTCTATTTATAAGCAACAAGTTTGGAAGCTTGTTGTTGATCATAATTCAAAATCACAAGTTTAAGCAAAACATGTGATTTTTAAGAAATCCAAGTTTCAAAGTCTTATGTAATTGCTAAGATATAGTGGTTATGAATTAAACACACTTGCTTCTGACTTTGTAAATGGAGTGTGATCAGAGGGAACAAATTAGAGGCTCAAGAATTGACTTTGTGCATAAAGCTTACTTTTCCAAAATGGAAGTGTTCACTTTGTGCCATTAACAGAAATGTGAATTGGATAAAGCTTAAACCACTTGGATTAAAGCTCAAAAGTTTGTGTAATCCATTAATGATAGATAGATACACAAGTTATAAGTCATGCAAAGCAAGATTATGCAACCTAACATTGAAATTGCATTTTTGTTCATCATGAAAATGACCTATAATTTTAGTTTGAAACCCTAACTTCCTCTCTTTGATTCTCCTTGCTCAAGAATGATCTCAAGGAGTTCTTGGACATTTTAGAAAGCTTGTAATATGCTCTACTACCCCTATTTGAATCACTTTTTAAAATTCCCCTTGGAACTATATGAAAAATTGCCATGAAGTTATGTTAAAATCCTGCCTAAACTAGGGCAAAATTTTCACTAAGTGTTTAGTTTCATGACCATGACTTCATGGATTAATATCTTGAGATCCAAGCATTTTTATGGGAAGTTGTGTAAAGCAATGTTGTATATATCATGGAGATATACAACTTTCATGTTGAAAGTTTTTTTTGAATCATCTTGCATATGAAGTTTTCAACACAGAAAAATTTCTAAGTTTGAAAACTTTGACTTTTCAAAATGAAATATTGAATTTTTGATTTCTTGATGAACAAGTTTCATATTTTGACATGTTTTGATGAATTGTGATCTTTGACACTTGATTTTGACCAAAAAGTCAAAGTTTGACTTTTCAGTGTACAGTTGACTTTTGATGAGTTGACTGAAAATCAACTATCAATCCAATTGATCTTGAGCAATGTTTTGAGTCATGTCATTAGGTAAAAATGATGCAATTGATCTCTTGAGATCATGCTTCAAACCAATTAACCATTTGCTAGGCTAAAAATCAGAGCTTGCCCTTTGCCAGTCAAAACCCTAATTTTGACCATTTTGCCCTTTTGATGATCTGATGAATTTTTTTGAGGAATTATGGTCCAAACATGATCAAATGATACATATGAGTTTATAATGTTAATATGGATAAATAATTATGAAGTTTGACTGTAAATTGGCCACAATTGACTTTTTCCCAATATAGTTGATTTTTAGGTCAACTGCTCAATTAGCTGAGCAAAAATGTGATCCAAGACTTGAAACTTGACATGAGAAATCTTGGGGGTCCATAATGATCCATGAAAATTATATGAGGCATTAAAAGTTCAATTATCCTTGTGCAATCTCAAACCCTAATTTCAGTCATCAGTGCTTAAGGAGGTGTCTTGAGCTGATCAACCCTAGTGCAGTCTTGAACCAAAGGAGATCTTGTGAGAAACACTTGATAAATGAGAGGAAAATTTTTGGGGTACAACAAATGGCAAATAGGAAAAGAATAAGAAGAATAACTCATAATTCCAACCACCCACGATTTGTGGTCAATGAAATTATGATAAGAAACCTTCGTTGGGAGGAGGGACTCACTACATCATCATTTAACTAGGGAAATAAGATATAACCTCCATCGACTATCGAGACGCTTTAAGCTCATCCCATGAACGAATAACTTCAAGTGTTGTTGGAGCCAAACATAGATCTAATTCATGAAATGGGAAAATGAGCACCCTACGACCCATTTTTGAGGGCACAACAACAAATGAAAAAATAAACACCTTATTGAGGAACTTACTTACAACAATCAACAAACAATATGCAATTCTGGAGGTCTGGGACAAACGACTCCGGGAAGCATAAATTATATATTACAAAAACTTCCAATCTCCCAGGCTTCATGACAATGTTATCACAAGCGACCATGATAATTTTTCTTGGCATAATAGATTATGGAGTTACCAATGACACGTATCATAATCATCACCTCCTATAAGACATTCTCCTCCAGGATCATGGAGACCAAGGCATTGGGGTTGTCATTGCTAAAGATCTTCATGCTCCTTATCTTTTAGATATTTTGAAGAGGGGGAAGAACAATATTTTCGAATGCCTTTAGCATGAGAATCAACGGATACCTCATCAGGCGGGAACTCCAAAAACTGTTAGGAATGGGGATCTATCAATGAACAACAGACCCCCACGAACATATGGAACTAGTCAACGTTCTTCTAAATTCACGGGGAGAAATAGGCCCTCAAAAGTGCAATATTTCCATCATCAATCTTGAACTAGGAGCCATGGTATGGTTTAGAGGCCTGATAAATGAGTTGATTGATTCTTGGGGGAAAATCCATAGTATAGAACAAGGGTATCACATCACACATAAATATTTAAACCTTTATTCATGAATAATACTTGAACTTCAAACATAACAATTGTATAATGATTTCAATTACAACATAGTATAAAAACATAACATATAGATGAATTCTTATGAGATGCACTTGTCCTCTACTCCAATGCATGTGGTGTCATCACTGAACTCAGAGCTTATTTTCCCGAGTCCTACTAGTTTAGTAGGATAGCTGAGCTACATCCCACACTACCACTCTCCTATACGTCAGTAGACATGCAATGTCTAGAAGTATGTGCAAGCTACCTACACACTACAACATTCTTCGCTAAACTCTACTTCTATGAGTACATGCGAGCTACACTTGTACTACGAAACTCTCCTAGACGTCCATGGACATGCAATGTCTAGGAGTACATGCTAGACGATACCCACTCTGATATATATGATGCATGACAAACAAACAAACATGAATTTCATCTGAACCTCCAAACTGTAATTAGTACACTAGTTCTTATCGAACCTCAAACATAATTAAAAAATGGTTCTTATCAAACCTTCAACATGATCTAACACTGGTTCTTGTCGTACCTCCAACATAATGAAGCATTAATTCTTATAAAACTTTCAACATAATGAAACATGAGTTCTTATCAAACCTTCAACATAATCAATTACTAGTTCATATTGAACCTTCAACATAATTGCCACATTAGAGTTTCCCTTTTATTTACTAACACTGGACTTTCGTCCTAAGGGTATTCACATGATTATTCATAGTTCACAATTTACATCTCATCAAATATTTGACTTGCATCCTAAAACTTTCACAATTTAATTCACACAACAATCATGAAACATTGGACCAATGTCCTAAAATATCCATATTTTATTTCACACAAACATATCATCAAACATTAGACTAATGTCATAAATATTCACATCTTATTTACACATATAAATACCACAAAATCATCAACATAAGATAGGTTTAAGTCTTAGCTTTTCAACACATTTAAATACGCTTCACACAGAGTTTCCAAATGAAAGTTATAGATTGTTTCTCGAAATATTGCAGATGTAACATCACAAAACTCAAGCAAAACTCAACCAAAAACTAATGATTTGATATGAAAATGAAAATGCAATTTATCATGCCTCATAATGCCATTCCGACATCAAATTAAAAACATTAATTCATTACCATGATTCATCAATTCATTAATATATAATCTCAACATTTAAATCATAAATTTCATCAGAATACCACATCAAAATTATGCAATTTCACAAATGAGGTATAATATAGATAAAATCAGACATGCAACATGAAATGCAGAATAACTATTTCACATAGCATATGTTTGGTAATTCATTTTGTGCAACAACATTCTTATCAAAATAACCTCAAATCATGTTTTCTACTAGTCATACCACAAATTTGACTAATTAATTAAAATATCAAATAATGTCGGAATCAAGTGAATGGACGTGATTTTCTTTCTTTTAACTAATAGAAATAATAATAATAATAAAATTACTCTAAAATTGAATTATTAATGAAATAAAAATTCAAATAGAATTCAGGGTGTTACAATAAGTAATTTTTAGTGCATTTCACGATATCCCAAAGATAACCCGAGTTTGTGAAAAGTCTTGGATTTATCAAACAAGGAAAAGAAAAATCATTGCAACCCTATATTAAGAGGTTCAATAGAGAAACAATACTAGCCAAGAGCACTAACAACGAGATGAAGAAATACCTACTAAATCTCAGACTCCAATTGGGATCCATATTCACCGAATGTATTAGAACCAGAACCCTAAAACCTTCAAGAACCTACTCTTCACAAATGCATGTAACTTAATTATTTCATCATTCATTCATTAACCAGTTGAACAAATAGGTGCAAACATGATCCAAAATATTGTGACCAAGTTATGTAGGGTGCATTTTTTATCTTTTTATTTTATAATCTTTTTGCATTTATTTTTTAATCTTTTTGCATTTATTTTATATTTATGAAAGATTGTCTATTTGGTGCGACAAAAAGCTTCAAGGTTCAACTAGGTTTTTGAAGAATAACAAGACCCACCAACAAAACATAAAAGAAGAAGAGTACACTATTCTTAATATACAAAACTATATAAGATAAGATAAAATGGCTATTCCAATGTGTAAAAATCCTCAATCAATCCCAACAAATTTATAGTTTTTCAAAAATATATAATTTAAAGTATCTTTTTCCAATAAATTCAATAAAGAAGAGGTTTACTCCATTGAAAAACTAAAAGCAAAATTGAATTATAATATTTTATTAAAAAAAAAAAACAGAAATATACAACTAACTTGTTTATAACTTTCAAAATACCCATCAATTAAGCTATACCAAATTTATATTTTTTTCTCCTCTTTAATGTAAACTTTCTTTTACCTTTGACTAAATCTTTAGATCTAAAAAAATCTACCCATCAAAGACCCATCAAACTCCACTCACAAATTCAAAAACATAGGGAAAAAAAGAAAAAGAACAAAAACAAGGCATAAACAAAATACTTAGTGAAGCCAAATCAAACCTTAAACCTTAGGGCTCGTATCAATTACCATCATTTTGAGGATCGAAGAACATATCGACCACCATTGCAACTTTATCCTCTCACACCACTTTGCTATCTTCTTCTATGAGATTTACAGACTCTTTTTATTCATGAATCAGATAAAGATCGAAATAAGAGAAAAATAAATAGAAGATGAATTTTTCTCAATTTTCAAGAAATATAGTCGCTCGAATTTCTAACTAATTTTATTATTAATAATTATAATATTTAAAATGTATTCACACGTGTTTCTAACTAACTTTATTACTACTATTTAAAACTAATAAAGTCGTTCGCGCGTATTTTTACCGAACTTTATTTTTAACAATAAAATCATCGATAGTCGGTATATTTGCGCGAATTTTTAACTAATTTTACTAGTAACAATAAATTCATAAATTAGTTGATATAAAGAGAAAAAACCAAAAATTAAAATTGAAAAATAATATTGATTTTTATTAATTAAAAAGTAAAGTAGAAAAGGGTGAGAATAAGAGTAATAGAAAAAGACTGAACATTAGAGAGGCGGAGACTGAGACTAGACTATGAGACTGGAAGGACCATACGGCGCACTGTCTGTGTAACCGTTTCTCGCTCCGGTAACTGTTTAGATCTTCTTCATCGTGTTCATCTTCAATCGTTTCCCATTCTCTCTAATTTCACTCTCTGTTTTTCTTTCTCATTTTTTGGTGTTACGTAGAACTAGAACTTCGCTTTGAACTTCAAGAGTTTCTCCGATGGAGCAGGTTAGTGAAAGGGCTTCTAGTTTTTTGATTTTTTTTGCAAATATGAAAATATACTCCGATTGTTTTGACTGATTTTGTGAGTTTTGCAGTATGAAAAGGTTGAGAAAATTGGAGAAGGTACATACGGTGTAGTGTACAAGGCTAGGGACCGTGTTACCAATGAGACGATTGCTTTGAAGAAGATTCGACTCGAACAGGAAGATGAGGGAGTTCCTAGCACTGCCATAAGAGAGATTTCTCTTTTGAAAGAAATGCAGCACCGGAACATTGTTAGGTATTCTGATTAGTAATGTGTTGGATGCTGATTTTGTAATTGATGCATTAAGCAATGATGTTATGTTTGAAATTAGGAAGATCGATGTTTAATGTGAGGTTAGAGTCTTGGTGCATGTTTCTCTTGTGCTGTTTTTGGTACATTGGTGTTAGAGTTATAGATCTGAATAGAACACTAGTGTTTGGTGTTTAAGTTATGATAACATAAGAAAAAATGGTTTGATTACACTCGTATATGGTCGTGTGATTGTTTTGTGATGGCTAAACTAGTGTATGGTGATATCGGTGATAGTTTATGTTTTGGTGAATTGAGTAAGTCTTTGTATTTTCCTGGTCAATCTGATGCTGTGGATGAACAATGCTGTCTATCTGTGTGATTATTCTGGCATGGCTAAACTAGTGTATGATGATGTTGCTGATAGTTTATGTCTTTACGAATTGAATTTGTATTTTCTGGTCAGTCTGATGCTGCGAATGAACAATACTGTTTATCCGTGTGATTATTCTGGCATGGCTAAACAAGTGTATGATGATATTGGTGATAGTTCATGCCTTTTTGAATTGAATATGTGTTTGTATTTTCCTGGTCAATCTGATGCTGCGTATGAACAATGCTGTCTATCTGTGTGATTATTCTGGCATGGCTAAACTAGTGTATGATGATGTTTCTGATAGTTCATGCCTCTACGAGTTGAATATGTATTTGTATTATCCTGGTCACCCCAGTGCTGCATATGTGCCGCTGAAATGCTACCTACATTATCATGTAATTGTGCTCTTCATGATTCTGTCTGTCTTGTGGCCAATGTGATAGTCTAATTACATTTATACTGTTAAAATTAGAATTGGGTGGCACAGGAAAACCTGTTGACTTAAGTCTTGTTGGATATGTTGTTTCAATTAGTTCATAGTTCATACATTGGCGTCCTAATGTTATTCTGCTTCTTTAACTACTTGCTTATTAAGTTATGGTTGATGGTTATGTGGATGGTAGGTTGCAGGATGTTGTGCATAGCGAGAAGCGATTGTATCTTGTTTTTGAGTACCTTGACTTAGATCTAAAGAAGCATATGGATTCATCTCCGGAATTTTCCAAAGATCAACGACAAGTAAAAGTGTGTTACTTTTCTACTTCTGTTCTCTTTAGAAACTTTGAGCTTTTTTGTGACTACAAAAGTAGCGAAGTAGCAAGAAATACAACTCAGCCAATGATTGAATGGTTTTTGTATCCCCATGCCTGTCTCTCTAAAAATTAAATGAATCAAATATGATAGCCAATGGTGATTTATTAACATTTTGGTTGGCATCATAACTATAGCTTGTCAAAATGCAGGTGCATACATATTATGCATGTCTCTTGAATTTTGTGATGAATTGCAAGTTGGATTGCAGTTGATTGGCATGACTTTGTTCATAATAGTTTCCTATTTATGAAGACGAGTGACAAGTTGATTAAGTTTGGCCTTTAGTATGTTGATTGGGCCTGCTGAGTGCTTATGGGCTTGCTTACTGAAATGAAGTAGGATTATCTGTACTTTTAATTACTGAAACTGAAGGTGCTTGCTACTTAAATTGAATTCTTTGTTTTTGACAAAATGTAAACTGGGTGTATAAACTAATCATAACTAATGAAGCATGGATATGTCAAAATCTCAGCCGAATCATATCTGATACGCCGATACACTGCGATACGACGCCGATACATATCAAATGAGTAGCTGAATTTATTTATTTTAAAAATAAATTAAAAATTCCGATACTGCGGCGATACGGCTCCAATATGATGCATATACATGACTCTTCATTTTTATATCAGTCATTCGGTCACTTTTTAACAGTCGTTCTCTTTAATACCCCCATTTAATTTTTTCCTAATACTTGTCTTTTTTTTAAGATTGGTTTTATTCCTATAATTTCTTATCAATTACCGTCTTTTTGAAATTTAATTCAGATTAGTTATTACTTTCTTTTTACGTTTTATTAATATTTTTTATAATGGAAAGTTTTAGATTTGTCTGCAAGTTCCTTTCTTCATTCTTCAAATCTTTCACATTTTTCAGCAATCTAGTAACGTGTTAAAAATTATGTTATGTGTTTGATTTTTGTTAGACTATGATTCAATTAGATGTCTAATTTTAATTATTGACACATCTCTGCATTGGATAGTATGGTATCTGATACTCTATCATGTCCGTGCTTCATTGATCATAATGTATCTATTTTCTATTTGGTAGCATGTTCCAATATTACTTACCTACATTAGTTACAAGTTGATTAGAAGGAACTCTAGTCTTTGCTGGTGCAAAGCATCACATGACTGGAAAAATGATGTATTAGTTTGCATCTTTTGTCTTTCATTAGATTTTTGCCCCTCTTTTCATTGCCTGCCTCAACTTTGAAATGAATTATTTGCGCTGGAGCATATCTGTATTAGTTTCCCTTTCCATTTAATTGTGCATTTTTTATGACGATTAAATACTTCTACCTTATCACACATCATTAATATGAATATATTTTATCACGTATTGGAAAAGAGATGATCTAATAATAGTGGAAAAGTGGAGCAATTATTTGGAATTTGAATTGTTTAATGATGTTTTCTGCAGATGTTCCTCTATCAAATTCTCTGTGGCATTGCTTACTGTCATTCTCATAGAGTTCTTCACCGAGACCTGAAACCACAAAATTTGTTGATCGATCGCAGCTCTAATGCGCTAAAGCTTGCAGATTTTGGATTGGCCAGAGCATTTGGAATTCCTGTTAGGACATTTACACATGAGGTTTGTGTGCTGCTGCTACCTTATGTGGGCTTTTGGAATTTGGTCATCTATGGAGATATTAAAAATTTGAAATTAATGGGCTGATGCACTAGAAAATAATTAAGTACGCATGCTTAACTTTAACGTTGGAATAATTTTGAACTGCAAACTTTAGTCGGAAACCTTATTGGTTTATGTTGGAATTTCTGCTTTCATTGCAGTCCGTCCCTAGTCGCCTAAATTGCGGCATTTGGCTTGTCTCCATTGCAGCCTCCAACACTTTCATTGTGTCGGGTTTGAAGGGATGGATTTAGACCCAACTCAAATACTAAGATGGTAGTAGAGCTTGAGTGGGTGTATTGGAATTTCCGCCTTTGTTGTGGTCCGCCCTCAGTTGTCTTAATTGCGGCATTTAGCTTGTCTTCATTGCAGCCTCCAACATCTTCATTGTGTTGGGTCTTGGGTCTGAAGGGATGGATCTAGTCCACATTGCTTAGAAATATGATATGTGTTGTGTTTATAAGTGGGGGCAATCATCACCTTACAAGTCCGGTTTGTGGGGATGAGTTAGGCCCAATTCAAATTATAAGATGGTATTAGAGCCTATCCTAGATCACTTGTTGGGCTTCCCGCATTTCCCTAGTCACCTAAATTGCGGCATTTGACTTGCCTTCATTGCAGCCTCCAAAACACTCATTGTGTTGGGTTTGAAGGGGTGAATTTAGTCTTTAGAGATATAACCTAACATAACAATTAACTTAAGGAAATCGTCTCATGGGAACTGTGAAATAATATGGTCTTTTATGTCACCCATCTAACTAATTTTGAGATTATTGCCATTCTTATGAATTTAAAAATTTAAATACATGAAATTATAAGTTAGTGAGTTCTACAAGTAAACATGGGAAGCAAGTCTCCCTTATTGGTCCTTCTTTTTTGTCTTTTGCTATGTGTGTATCAGGCCTGGTAGTCTATATTTCTTTCAAACACACATGCTTGAAGTTATTAAATTAAAAGATTTATAGAAGTAGATTCTTTAAGAACATAAAAATCTTTTGAAACTATATAATGGTAGATGGGATTTTATAACTTGATATTGATTCCTATTTTTACATTGTGGTTTTGGTGATTGTTTTTAGGTGGTGACACTATGGTACAGAGCTCCAGAAATACTGCTTGGGTCCCGTCATTATTCTACCCCAGTTGATGTTTGGTCAGTGGGATGCATATTTGCAGAGATGATAAATCAGCGACCACTTTTCCCTGGGGATTCTGAGATTGATGAACTGTTTAAAATATTCAGGTATGTAGCTTTTTTGCCATAAGTTTTACAGTTAATTAGGTATCATAGAAAATTCTGTCAGATACAAATTGGACAAAGAATGCCTCCTAAATCCATTAAAAGTCTCTATACTTAAATTGGAATTATGGCTCAGATGTGTACTGGGATTTTCCAACTGTCGATCAATCTTAATGATTGTTAGGTTACAAACTTTTTCAGGTTTTAATAGTTTAGAATAGTCTTGACAGGGATTCTGATGGAATACTGTATGTATTACTTTGATAGATGAATGCAAATAGTAAGGGGTATGAACTCTCCTATGCCAGTATTTTAGATCGACGTTTCTCATAGATTTAAGAGCATTTGCATTTGGTTGGTAGTTATGAGGATAAAATTGGAGTTTGGGCTATGTTTTGTAATCTAGTTTAGGGCTTTATGACAAAAAAATGGGCGAACCAAAGGGATCCTTTTAGAGATTTGCAACATATTTTACTAGAATTTTCCGTTATTGTTTTATGATCAAAGTGTATACTCTGTTGTTTCAAAATATAGCTCAGAGACCATTATACCGCCGGTATTGCAATCTAATATAATGCATCCAATATATTTTTCTTTTCAAACAAGCATGTAACAATCAAATTAACAGTACATCATGTCTGCTTATAATTTTGTACATTGTTCCTTATATGAAGAATCACCGGTACACCAAATGAAGATACATGGCCTGGAGTGACTTCATTGCCTGATTTTAAATCAGCCTTTCCAAAGTGGCCATCTAAGGTAATTAAATGTATCTTTAACTCGCATTAAATAATGTTAGGATTTCATTGCCATGTTTAACCTTATTTTTTGTTTTGCAGGACCTAGCAACTCTAGTCCCAAATCTCGAGCCATCTGGTCTTGATCTGTTATCTGTAAGTGACAGCATCAAATATGATACTTTTTTAAATAATGAAAGAAAATGTCTCTTTTACGGTGATAAAATGAAACCAAATGTTATACATATTTTGTTATCAATGAAGAGGAAGTAGTAACTGTTATTTTAGAGCTAGGATAAAACTAAAGATCCACATTCAAACAGTTAGAAAAGCTCAAGTATTAGATAGTAGTAATGTTTCTCATAATGTTGTAGATGAACACTACCTTTATTTGGCAAAAAAATGACTAACTGTAGCTGATTTCTCACTATTCAGACTTGCATGTTTTATGCCCTCCCTAATATTGTTTTCATTGATTTTAACTGGTTCTTACATTAATATATGGATGTGTTGTGTGTTGTATTCCAGAGTATGCTTCGCTTGGATCCCAGCAGAAGAATTACTGCCAGGGGCGCTCTTGAGCATGAATACTTCAAAGACATTAAATTTGTCCCCTGAGTTCCTGGCTTCACGGAAGAGGTGTCTATATCATATGAAGCAGTTTTGGGTTTTTGACTCAGAAATATGTGTTATCCTTGCTATTTTCTTCAATGCTTTGGACCGAGTAATATTTATTTATTGGTTCTTACAGATATTCTTTTATATTCAGTTTGAGTGTGATTATATTCTCTACTATTTTTTGTTTGTCTTAGTCTCAATACAATGCAACCAGCAAATTCCTGTTTGCTTGATGTATAATATTAATAGACATTGCTGAATGGTGGTTGTAGAACAAATGGTTACTCCTACTGGCACGGAGCATGTAAATTTGACATATGTGATACGTTCTTGTCTGTAAGTTGCTTTTATCTGCCTATTCCAATGGGTGTTAGATTATCAACAATATGCATAAACTGTACGAGTGAAGTATCAGAAAGTATTTTTATTATAATAAAATTGAATTGATGCATTTTACAAATAATGGCGACATGGTTTTAAAATGGTCACCACTTTGATAGGGATGTCAACATGCATCTTCCAGTGGGCAACTCTGCAGGAATTGTCCTGTTTGGGAAATTTTTTAAGTTTGAAAATTTGATTGTCATAACTCATGAGTATATATTAAATGATATTACACCTGGAGAATGTTGGTCTGTTGTCAAACCAAATTTGAGTCATGTAATGGTGTTTGAGTCTATTGCACATAGACATATGCATGATCAATTGGGGGAGGAAGCTTGATGGCAAATCAAGTCAAATGATCTTGATTGTTTATCACTCAATTGATGGTTACAACTGTTTGATCCTATGAATAAACAAATGAGCTGAAAGAATAATATTGGAGTAATAATGCAAAGAAGGACTCGGTGAGGATAATCCATGAAGAACCAAGTATTAAAGTCAAAGTGCAAACTCAAGCAGATACCAAGTGGCCCCAAAGAACTAGAAACATGCCAACCAGACTGCTAAGACTGTGTAGTCACACAAGATGACATGGTCAATGATGAAGGTGAACGGGTACACTATGTATTTTATGCAAACATTGGGCCAATAAATTTGAGTGAGACATATAAGGATCTTAAATAAGGATCTTAAATGGGTGAGTGCTATGATAGAAGAATCTGACTCTATAGAAGTTAACAAGACTTGGTCACTTATTGATTTATCACAAGGAAATAAGGCGATTGATGTGAAGTGGGTATACAAAGTAAAACTAAGTCCTAAGGGTGAAGTGATCAGACATAGGGGCTTGTGGGCAAAGGGTCTCTTCAAAAAGAAGGTATTAACTTTGATAAAGTCTTTACACCAGTTGTCAGGATTGAGACAATTAAATTGGTTGTTGCTTTAGCAAATATAAACAACTGGTCCATGTTTCAAATGGATGTAAAGTGTGCATTTCTGGATGGTTATTTGGAATAAGCGTGTGTTGTAACACCCTTCTAAATCTACATACATTTCACATATATTTTACAAAATTAAATCAAATAAAATCACCAACAAGGGTGTCACATCTTCATATAAACATCATACAAATGCATCTTACTCCGTAACACGGGTTTTCAAAACATCTAAAACAAATAATTCTTTAATATCATCGAATATCAAAAATTCAGATTATTGCAGCAGAATCATAGTCTCAAAACATCTTTATCAAAAATAATTCAGAGTCTTACTCACTTTATCGTTCATGATTCATAAATCAAACAACTAAATACCATGAAAGGTAACTCATCATCTCAAAAAAAAAAAAAACAAAAAAACATAATAGTTTCATAACAAACATTCTCATCCCCGATGTTACATTTAGAGCAAGACCCTCTTATTCAACAGAAATAAATGACACACTCCAAAGCTAATCCTCTAAGCTTCAATGCACTAATCCTAATCACCTGCAAGTTACCCACGTATAGAGGCAATATTTTCAAGCAGAAATGGTGAGTAATCATAATCATTATAAAAGACAAGGAATAAATATATTAGTTATAGCACAATCACAAGACACTACACACCATCAAAAATTCATGTTATACCCACACCTTCAGTTCATTATTTATTCATAGCATCATCATATCATCAATTCACAATCATCATCAAGACATCATTAGTTCACATATTCACAAAGTATCACTTAATCAATCATTATGCAATGTCACATACAATGCAATGCAATGTCATTGACTTATGCATGTGGTATCAAACTTCACTGATGAATCAATCATCGTTTCTCCAGCGATCTCCACTAATAGGATTCCCGCTTGGAACCAGAGCACATCACAAAATTACACTCAAATCCTCACTATGAGATTGAGGCCATCACTGGACTATTCGTCCTATAAACTTCACTGGACCGAAGTCTTGACAACATCACTAGACCAAAGTCCTAATCACATGCCATGAATACATGATGTGAATCATCTCAATTACAACATGAACAATGTTAGTCAAAACACATCATCATTCATATAATCATCATAATATCATCACATACTTCATATTACACACGTCATCATCATAGCAACAACAATTCATCATATACACATACATCATAATAGAACAGTCACCAAATCATCTTATTCATCAAAACATAGAGACGGGAAAACACATCATATGACTCATTTTACTCCACCAAAGTATAATTCATTGTGTTAGCTTTCTAACGCTTCAAACAGCGTATCAAATGGAATCCTGAAACTCAAGCTACGACCTGTTAAAGTTCTGCCAAACACCCCTCGCCCGAGGCTCGCCCGACGAAGCAGGTTGCTCGCCCGAAGAGGACGGGGTGAATTAGTTTCCCGCATACGAAACCTAGAAGCATGCATTTCCCTCATTTCTCTTTCGCCCGACGAGGCAGCTCGCTCGCCCGGCGAGCTTAGCTCACCTCTGCTTCGCTCAACAAAGCTGGAGCGAGTCCTCTTCTCTCATACAAAAGTTCAGGGATTCTGTTTTTCACCCTTCCCTTTGCCTCACGCTCTCCCAGCGCATCAGGGGCAAAATTCCTTCGCTCGACAATGCATCATGCTCGCCCGACGAGCTAGTGCGAATATGAATTCCTTGTTGCAATCTCTGCACTGCACCCGTCCAATTTCTACATGATTTCTTCACAATACAAGTCTCAATTCATCATGGTTTCACACAGTTTCATCATACAATACCAACACAAGTTGTCATGCATCATATACCTCAATTTATTGGAAAACAATCTCACAAATTCATCAATTTTCATCACATCATCATATTTACATCATCATCCCAAAATCCCAATACAAAGCTACAAATATCTAAACCTTAGATCAATTATAATAACAACGATAAACTCCCCTTACCTTATATTCTTCCTAGCAATTGATTCCTCTTCGTGTTATACAGAATTTTCTGAGTTCCTCAGTGCCCTAGCTCTCTTCATAGTGTTCTTTCACTTTCATGATTACACATAATGAGACACTTTTCCTTGTTTAACCCTTGGGCCCTTTATATGGTCTTCCCATCTTACCCTCACTTACATCATAATATTACCATCTTGTCCTCATAGTGTCTACTTCTTCTTATTATTCTATTTAACTAATTGTTATACCCCAATTTTTACCCCTAAGATTTCTCATTATCTCATATTATCAATACATCAAGATCACACATTAGGGTTGGTTCTCCCTTCTACTTCATCTTATCTTTAAGTTTGCTCTTGAGGAATCACCAAGCACCTTGAATTATGTATCTTGTACACGTGTTTTTTTAGGTGGATTAATTTTTTAACTAACATCAAAATATGTATCTATGTTTCTTCGGATGTTCATATTATAGGTGATGACACAACTGAATCCATCGCACCATCTAACCTAGGATTTTAAGGGATAGTCCTTAGTCAAATGGTTCTTCAATGGATTGCAAGAGATTAAGCTTCAACGCTATGTCTATGATATCAAAGTTTTTTTTTGGTTCAAAGAGCTCTCTCACCTTATTTAGGTCAAGTTTTCCTCAAGGTTAGTGGTGGTATTCATCAAGAAGATTCATACGTTCATGTGTTTATTTGCATACCTTCTTCAACAAGTTTCATTGAGACTTAAGATCCACCTTTGAGTGTACTTCAAGAAAACATCATTTCAATGTCTAATGTGATCCATAATGCTCTATTTTGCAAAGAAAGTTCAAAAGATTCAAGGTTGATTCAACAAGTTTGACCTAATTCAGCAAGTGCTTGATTCAGTGATCACAAGTGCATAAATATCTCAATTTTCAATATTTTGAGTTTGTTCTTTTTTCTAAGGGTTATTATTATCATATACAACAACTTCTCTTCACATGACAAGATCCAATTATGCAAGGAAAGACATCAAAAGTTGAAAGGGATTACAAGTCATTTTGGCACTCTCTGAGTAAGGGTTGGTTGACTTCCAAGGACCATATCTTGATCATGTGTTGAGATATTAGGTTTATTCCAAATCCATGATTCTCTTTGAAGAGTCCATAACAACTTATCTTCAAGGATCTAAGGTTAATTTTGAATGGAAGATCACTAATGGTCGAAGAAGATTACAAGTCCTTTGAAAAGGCTATCAAATTCTTTTGTGTGACTTCAAAGGATCATAACTTGGTCAATTTTTATCTCCTTGAACTTATTTTTTTTTATAATAATCTTTGGGATGTCTACTACAACTTTGTTTCAAGGTGCTAGGCTTGAAAGTGCTTGGAAGTTTGTTTAAGAATTGAAAAGATTATAGGTCATTTGTGAATTTCCCCAAATTTGTTCATCATCTTCCAAAGACCATAACCCTTTCAATTTTTATGATTTTTTATTGATCTCAATTCCACAATTCAATTTGAAGAGTCTACTATATTTCATCTTCAAGGATCAAGATCAACTTTTGAGTGGAAAGACTTGTAAGTTTGCAAGACATTATAGGTCATTTTGAAGCTCAACACTTAGAATTTTTCTAAGTACAAAGAATCCGTGTTGTCATACCCCAATTTTGCCCTACCCTTACATTAGGTTACTTTTATTTTTTAAGTGATTCATATTTCTA